AATTGCATTTCGTAGTTGTGATAAGTGCCAGGGCCTTTCCTTAAGTCATTGAACTTCTTGGTACATATTGGACTGAAATGCTCTTTGATACAATAATTCACCCCTTGAGAGAAGGAAGTATAGAACAAGGTCCCAGAATAAAATGTTCAGATAACATTCATGAATCTTGCAATCTTGTATGAAAACTCAACATGGTGCCTACAGGCCATGAGGTCAGCTCACATTGGGAATTGCCTGTTGTTAAATTTGCTTTTGGAGGTGACTTATATTCCACTGCAGATCCCGTTTTTAGTTCTTCCTGGGGAAATGGGGACAGAAAGTTAGATTTTTCAATGGTTGTAGCTTTCAATCTCAGAGGAAAAGGGAGTGGAGGGTCAAACACAAGTGTCTTAGTTATCTAGTGCTGCTGTAACAGAAATACCACAAATGGGTGGCTTTAACAAACAGGTATTTTCTCACAGTTAGGAGGCTGGAAGTCCGAATTCAGGTTGCCAGCTCTAGGGGAAGGCTTTCTCTCTCCGTCAGCTCTGGAGGAAGGTCCTCTATCTCTTCAGTTTCTGCTTCCTGGTTCCTTGGAGATCTCCATATGTCCTGGCATGTGTCTTCCCCGACCCTGCTCTGCCGGCTTGTCTAATCCCTTTTATATCTCAAAAGAGATTGACTCAAGATACACCCTACACTAATCTTGCCTCATTAACATAACAAAGACAACCCATTCCCAAATGGGATTATAACCACAGGCCTAGAGATTAGGATTTAGAACACATTTTCTTGGGGGACACAATTCAGTCCATAACCACAAGGTAGTGTGTTTCTGGAGCAGTGTCCCTGCATCTGGGCAGAGTAGGGTCTTCAGCTTCTCTAGGGCTGCAGTGGTACCCGTAGCACTCAAATTGTTTATTAAGTTAGTGTTTTAGACCTTTAAACATTCTTCATACTGCTTGAAGAAGCTACAATTAACATCTCCCAAGCAGCTCAGCAGAACTTGGTTGCTAGGCAGCAGACCTTTAAAGACAATTGGTCAGTTTCTGCCAAAAGACAGAAAAATAGTAAACATTCACATTGTAAGTAAATCACTTGTTTTTCAGCTCCCAACTTTCTCACGGTGCCAAGGCCTCCCGTTCATCAATGTCCATTTTATTTTTTAGTTTTCATAAATAATTCAAAGAAGTTTTACGAGAATAATTGAGCTTTTTTTCCTAAGCCTAACCCGCGGCAATTCAAAACAAAAAGGAGTTCAGATTGCAGTCAGGTTGCCATATTTGTGGACAGATTTTACATTAATATCCAGAGGCTCTTTTGGTAGGTATGGAATACCCAGCTGCCCAGCTGTGACCAACCATGGCCTTGAGCAATAACAAAGGAAAGTGGTGGCAGACTCATTGGGCTCCGGCGCCAAGACCCAGCCAGACCCCACGTGACCCTGTTGAGCTTATCTTCTAATGGAATAGACATAGCGAGAAACCAGGAGATTCAGTACAGCGGCTGTGGGATTCATATGAGGCACAGAACCCAGCCTGGGATCGGGGAAGGCTTCCCAGAGAAGATGTGGGATGGAGTCAGATCTTAAAGATGAAATGGGCCAGCCCACTGGGCAAGGGAGAAGAGTATGCCAGCTAAGGTACTCCACGTGCAAAGGGCAAAGAGTGCTGGGGAGGCTGCCAGTGAATCTGTGTGGCCACAGGGCCAGGGAGGTCCCAGGAAGGACCTGCAGTTCTTCCTGAAGGCAGTGGAGAGCCACTGGAGGGCTTGGGACCTGCAAGGGCCGTCATGTTTGCATATTCCAGCCTTTGGGGAGACCATCCGATTTGGCCTAAAGTTAACTCAGGGTATTGGGCCAAGTCTGAAAACCCCAATGAGCATGTGGCCGGAAGGAGCAGGGAAGCCCATGGTGGGGGTGGGAGGGTGCAGTGGCTCGGGAGTGTTATCCTGGGCTCTTCTGCCAATTCCAACCTGTAGGACCTTGAATGTAGGTTACTTAACTAACCTGAGTCACAGGCTTCTGAACTGTAAAATCGGGATGATGGTAGTGCCTACCTCACAGAGTTGGTTAAAAGATGATAATAAATTCAAGCATAGTCCTTAGACTGGTACTCGGTACCCAGTGCTCTTTAAGTGTCGTCTGATGTCATCATGAGCGTGCTGCCCTCCCTGGGCTTCCATGAATCGTCTGCCTGAAAGGGTCCATAGTGTCTGCCACTTGCTCCCTGGGTGACACAGGACAAAACTGCGGACTGTCTTGGAACCATATGCCTTTCCTCCCTCTCTGGACTTTCCCTAACCACAACATGAGGGGCCTCTGGAGTTGAGCCCAGGATCCTTTCCTGCCCCAAGTTCTTGGTGCCAAGCCTGTGCCTAGGTCAGGGCCCCTCCGCTGGTGTGGTTTGGCACTCTGGTCTTTCTGACCACTGGTCCTTGGGCTTCAGTCCCTGCAGACAGAGCATTTGGGTTCACATGGTTGAGGATTTCAGCCTCTGGTTGTATCCACAGGGTGTCTCAGCCAGTGTTGTTGTTGTATGCTTTTGGTTCGATTTCCAACTTACAGCAACCCCATGACAGAGTAGAATTACCCCATAGAGTTTTCTAGGCTGTAATCTTTGTGGGAGCAGATCTCTATATCTTTCTCCCATGAAGCCACTGAGTGAGTTCAAACCGCCAATCTTACGGCTAGCAGCTGAGTGCTTAACTGTTGCACCACCAGGGCTCCTTGCACCCAGTCAATAAAAACTCAAATCTGTTGCTGTTGAGTTGATACAGACTCATAGTGACCCTACAGGACAGAGTAGAACTGCCCCGTAGGTTTTCAAGGGGTGACTGGTGGATTTGAACTGTCGACCTTTTGGCTAGCAGCCGAATGCTTAACCACTGTACCACCAGAGCTTCACCTAGTCAACAGAGGTTCAAAAAGCACTGCGTAGGAGCCATCTGGGGGCCTCAAATTCAAAGGATAATTCCCCAGGGAGACCCTTTCATTCACACATTTATTCATCACTCAGCCACTCTTTACTGAGCGCCAACTATGTGCCAGTAACCATCCCAGGCCCTGAGAATACAGCCAACAGGACAAGTGTGGCTGGGGAAGAAGCACATGGATGAACCAGATAATTTTCAGGAGTATAAGTGCTGGGAAGAAAATGAAGGAAGGTGGTAGGATGGAAAGTATCTTTGTCAGGGGCAGTCGGCACTCCCTGAGTCGGGGTGATAGGGAAGGAATTCTCCAGGAGGTGACATTTAAACTATAGCTGAGAATGAGGGAAGAGCAAGAGGTTTCCAGTTCACCTGGGCCTCTTTAGAGGGGCAACAGTATCAGGGCTTCTGAAGGGTTGATTTCTGGGGCAGGATTATGGGCTATCCCAGGTGGGCGGTTCCCTGTGTCATCTGAGGGCAACAGGTCTTTAGATGCCACTTCCCTTGACCTGATTGGTTCTGGAGAACTTTTAGGCAGCCTTGAGTCCACTTTGGGTTCCCTTCACCCCTGCTCCTGTGCTGGGGCCCACGGGGAAGTAACCCAGCCCTGGGCCCGTTGGGCATGGCAGAGTCTCCCAAGGCCTTAGCTGGGAAAGGCCCCAGGCAGAAAAGGGAGGTTGCTACAGGACACCAAAAAGCACCCAGCACTGGAGTCTGTGCTCTTGTATTAGCTGTCTTACTGCTTGCTAATAAGATATGCAAAGTATCAGGGCTGTGAAATCTTAGCCACATTCCATCTTCTGTTTAATTAGCATTTAATTGTAATCTCATTTTAATTTTTTCACATTGGCACCCTAATTAAATGTTAGGGTGTTAGTCTTAACAGTTAAATTATATCAGCAAATAGAGTCTTCAAGAAACTTGACCTTTTTCAAGCCACGGCCCTCTCCAGCTAGATGCAAAGGTTAATTAGATTTCTTCTGCAAGATGCTGCTGCGTCCAGCCACCAGTTCCCATTCCAGTCTTTTCCTTGTGGTTATGGCCCTTGATTCAAATGAGGTCCACACAGCCGACGAGTTGGGCCTCTAGCAGGCAGAGGTTACCACTGAATCCGTGTCTCCTGAGTCTCTGGAAGGCTGTGTGAGCTGACTTGGCCCCAGGCATGTCAGTGGGTGCTGATTTGGGGTGGGTGGGGTTGGAGTTTCATCTAAGGCCTGGTGTTCTCCTTGAAGTGGTTTTTCTTGACTCAGAGATGTGAATTCTTCTTTAACTTGTGATTCTCAAGTGATGATCACTTGGTACCTGAGTAAGTCTCATGCTGTCTAGAGGTGCCATCAAGTCCCACGACAGTCCTTTGTGGGGGCCACAGTGAGATCAGTCAACTGGGGCAGGCGGCATTGCCAGCGCTGGCTGGGGCTGAGTGTGGAGATTGTTCTGGGATGGAGGGAGGGGGAGCAATAGACAGGCACTGTTGGAAAGAGCAGTTTCCCCGAGTGAGCGGGTATCAGAAGTGAACCAACACATGGTGTATGACCACTCATGGCCTGGCTGGAGGGGATTTGGATGAGCTTGATGAAGATAGAAGACAAGCCTATACTCCTTCCTCAGCAGACACAGAAGGTGGTAATGTAGAGTCACTGGAGAGTTAGGAGACATGGTATCCCTGCTCTTGAGGGACCTTGAGGGGCCTGACAAATGTGAAGCCATTCTCTAGGCTGCCCCAAGCCCCATCCTCACCCTCAGCTATTTGCATAAGGTCCTGGCATTCAACCCTTGTGCTCTTTCACACCTCCTCTTATGCCTGGTTGCAGATACACAACATGCTTTTAAGCCTCAACGGAAATTCCCTAAACAGTCACTTAATGGCAGCATTGCATTCACAGAAGCCTCTCAGCCATCCGTTTTTTTCTCAGTTTTTGCCTTTCTCTGCAAGTCTTTCCCTTGCCCTTAGGTGCTACCCCCATTCATCACTCAAACTCTGTCCTTTAATAGGTCAGAACACATGTGAATTCAAGCCAACACATTTATTGAACATCTACTGTTTGCAAAGCACTGTGCTGGGTTTAGTCTGAAGCCGCTCTTGCTCCTGACAGGTTTTTCGGACAGACTTGATCACAGCCATGAAGATCCCGGACTCATACCAGCTCAGCCCGGATGACTACTACATCCTGGCGGATCCATGGCGACAGGAGTGGGAGAAAGGTGTGCAGGTGCCCGCTGGGGCAGAGGCCATTCCAGAGCCTGTGGTGAGGTGAGCGGAGTGGCCCAGGCCGGGAGCCCATAGGGACAAGGAGAGCAACGGGAGGCTGCTCCCTGGGTGAGGGACCTACCAGTCCTGGGCTTCCTTTCTAGACCATCTCCATTTTATATTTGATTCTTTTGTCCCATAAACCACTGAAATGTTGCAGAAATACCTGCATTGACCTTTGAGGCTAAGGGCTCAGGCTTAGGATTAACTCTGGAGCCAGACTGCCTGGGTTCAAATCCTGCTTCTTGCCACTCAGATTCAGTATGACCTTGGGCCAGGAATTTAATCTCTCTGGGCCTCTGTTTCCTTGTCTGTAAAGGGGAAATGATAACACCACCTACGTCATATGATTGTTGAGATGATTTAGAGAAACAAGGTGTAGAAAATGCCTGGCACAGGCACAAGCAAGGTGTCTATAGAAACTGGCCATGGATTAGATTGAAGTAGATCGAAACTGGGTCCCAAAAGCAGGTTTTACTGGGGAAATCACCAGACTGTTAACTCATTTTTAAGGCAGCCATGCTCTTGGCTTCATAAAACTTTTCAACAGATTCTTAGAGGAAGATTCAAGGGCCCAGCACACAGCAGATGCTCAGGATGTGGTGGCTACTACCAGCCTCTGAGGAGGGCCTCTGCCAGGGCCAGGTCAGGATGAGTCTTCTCTGGGCTGCGAAGCATTCTGGCTCTTGTCAGGCAGAGAGCCCTACTTGTGGCTGGAGGCTTTTGTCAGGAGGCAGCCACATGGGCACGGGCTTTGCCTCCAGCTACAGAGTTCAGCCAAGTGCTTCTTTCTGCACCCTGGGAAACCCTCCGAGTCATGTCTTGGAGCAGAGGGGCCTCATGGCCCCGTATTACAGTCATGTGGCCTGGCTGAGCAGTTTGGGTTATTGGCAGTCTAGTTATGGCCTTGGTAGCTCCATGGCTCTTGCTCAGGCCCGTGTAGACCAAGCCGGGGACAAAAATTGCAGCCATCACCTCCCTTGACACTGGCACTATTGCTTCCCTGGCAGCCACACCCCTGGCTCGCTCATATACAGAGTGCCTGCTCGATGCCAGCCCTGTGCTGGGCATGAGATCACAGAGGTGGAGCAGACCCCGAGTCCCCACTCAGAGCTATATGAGGACTGTGTGTTGAGAAGGACCAGCCCTCCGCCAGTGTCTCCCGCCACCCACTCCTGAGGGCCAGATGCCTACCAATACTTATCCAAAGCCCTCTGAGAATCAGGGGAGCCCAGGCCTCTCCAGAGAACCTGAGGGCCCCATGGGGAGTGTGTGTGGGATTTGGAGAATGAATCGATTTTCCACACCCTTGCCCAGAGTCAGAAACCTGGGTCACACCACCAGTCAATCTCACACCTTTGCCTCTGCAGATTCAAGAGCTATTTATTATTGAAGACTTTGAGCTTGTTTCTTCACCTGTAAAATCGGTATATTAACAGTACCTGCCTGACCGTGTGGTCATGAGGATTGGATGAGACTGTGTATGCCAAATTATCATCACAGTCCCTGGCACATGCCAGGGCCCAGGGCAGCAGGGGAGGGGCCAGCCACCAGCTGGACAGAGAGAGGTGATCCCTGATCAGGCTTGACCCAGCAGTCTTGTTCCCCCTCCTTGATGTCAATGTCAGGTGGTTCAGGAAACTTCTGCTGGCCTGGGTAATTAACTGCAGATGCTTCCACACCAGTAGCTTTGCTTCAGTCTGCCTGTACGGTGTCTTATCTGTTGACATCAAGAGGAGTGCACGTGTTTGGGCAGCTTTGGCGTTTAGGTGCATTCCCAGCATACGCATGGTTGCCGTAAGCCAACATGAGCCTGCCCATGCTCTTTGGAGAGGGGATAGGCAGGAGGGGGAAAGGAGGTGTTCCCTTGGAATGAGCTCATGCCCGTTTCTCCAGCCCAGCCCCTCCATCCTCGTGGGCTTCTCCTACCACACAGCCCTCATCTGGCAAGCCAACACAGCAGTCACCATGGTCATAATTGTTATAAGACTTTTGTTTCTGAGTACTTGCTAAGCTGAGCCTGTTACGTTCATTTTCTCATTTAATTATCATATTAGCCCTATAAAGTACATATTACTGTCCCCATATCATAGATGAGGAAGTCGGGAAATTCTAGGGACTTCCCTGAATGATCGCTGGGGCCTAGTGGGCTGGGTCAGGAAATCAGAGGCCCTGGGAAGGAGCCCGGGGTGCCCCCGTGAGGCCCAGAGAGAGAGAGAGAGCCTTGTGCCTTGGTCACCCTGGGATGCTGGCTCTGACTGCCCTCCCCCAGCTGCTACCCCAGTCTGCCTCTGTCCTTCCCTCCCTGCCTGGTTCTTCTTGTCCACCTCATGGGAGAACCTGTTTCCCCCGAGACCATGAGCTGAGTGAGGGTCTGCTCTGTGTAGCCAAAAGACTCAGGCTTCTGGTATCTGGTCTTCTGGGGTAGAAACCCATCCCATTCCCCCAGATCTCAGCCCCACCCACCTCCTTCCAACTGACCTCAGCCTTGCTGCTTTGGCTGAGGGTGAGGCCTTGGCCTAGGATCAGGTCAGTCCATGCCTGGTGGGAGAGCTTCCTTCACAGCCAGAGCTACAAGGGGCCAAACAGATGGAGGGGAGAGCTCCAGGAAGCACAGGAAATGCCTTTTGTGGTGTGAGCCTCAGAGCTCCCCAGAGAGAGGATGGGGGCCCCAGGAGGCCTGGCCAGGTGGCAGCCAACAGGGTCAGCAGGTATGAGTAGTTAGGCCGATAGGTGGTGGGCATTCAGAGGAGGGTTGCCCAGAAGCCAGGCTGAGCACATGCTTGGGGCACAAGCAAAGCAGAGTCATAACAAAATTAGGGGCTTTTTTTTTTTTTTTTTTTTAAAGAATGTGTTATTTCACATGGAAATGAGAACTTGTTGGACTAATAGTATTACTTCTGTTTGGAATCACTTATTGGAGAGGAGGAGTGACACTATTATCATTGCTTAAGGTCTTCCTTACTCTGTCCTCCTTGCGTAGCAGAAGGTAGTGCCAAACTGTTTCCCTTTCTCCCTGACCCCTCAGCCTCATCTGGGCATCCTTCCCTCCCTGTTTGGACCTCTGTCTTCTTCATCCTTCATGCTCCTGTTGCCAACACCCGGGGCATTTCCTGGAGCCCAAGAGCCCGCCCCACAGCTTAGCCATGTCTCTGTGCCATCGACGGTCCTGCCCTCCCCTCCCCAGTCTGCAGCTGAGTCACAGACCCTGGCAGCCCTGCCTTCAACCCCCAGGAGGCCTCTCCTGGGCAAGCGAGGGGCCTCTCTGCCCTGGCAGGGCTGGCCAGATGGAGGCCAGGCTCCCCAACAATAACCATGGCAACTGGTTGGTGGTGGGAAGGGTTTGGCATTTTGAACTGGCATCGGGAACTGAGGGGCAGCACACAGCTGAGCCAAGGGAGGAAACTGTCCCCTCCCAAAGCAAAAAGCCCTTGTATTCCACTTCAGAAAGTGACAAGTGATATCCAGAGGTCTTAAAATACATACTCTTTACACACATACAGTGCTTGCTCTGTGCCAGGCACTTTTTTCTAAGAGTTCTAACATGTATTAATTCATTTAATCTTCACACCAACTCTAAAAGGTGGGTACTGTTAATTGCTTTTCCATTTTATGGATGGTTACACTGGGCCACAGAAAAGTGGTTTGCCCATAGTCACACATTGAAGTATGGAGCTGGGACTTGAGTCCACCACACCCTGCAGCCAGGGCCCTTCCCAGCAACCTGGGAGACAGAGCCGAGGTCCCAAGGGAGGGCTGAGCTGGGGGTGGGACCCTGTAGTTGATACATCTTTGTGTCCAGGTTCTCCAGTTTTTGGGTAACACTATAGTGAGAGACCACCTGCTCATGGAACATTGTATGTAGGGGAAGTGCAAGGTGTGCTGGCAACGCTGTGTCCCCTCTGGTGGTTGTGACTTTTTATCTAGAAAGAGTCACCCTGGGCTGCAACTATGTAGCTGGGTAGGGCCACTCAAGACCATGGAGTTTTCAGTTTGTTGGTGAAGGAGGGGCTGTGGCATGTGAAGGCATGGGACAATCCCTGGCTCCTTCCCAGTCTTGAGGGGTATGCCGAAGAACTTGAAACACAGCTGGCCTTATTCCCCTTGTCCCACAGTGGCTGGCACAGGGGTAGCCCAGGTCAGGACTTGGGACGCCTCCTACAGGCTTGGTGAGGGCATATCCAGATCCTTAGGCTTTATAGCCCAGGCCCAGCTCCCCTGATGGGAGGGCTAGTGGAGATGTGCCCCGGGCAGTTGGGATGTTTATAGAGTGATCAAGGGCTGTGAATCAGCCCATTCCCACTCTGCCCCTGAGCCATTTGGATCTTCAGTGTCCTGACTGTTTACCCATAGTCACCTGAGTCTGTGCAGGGCAAGGAGGTGGGCAGAAGGAAATGTAAGTAGGAGATGGGGGAGGGGGCTGCTTGGCATCAAAGTCTGCCAGCCTCACTTGCCTACCAACTCGTCAGCCAGCTGGTGAGGATCAGGAGTGCTTGCTGGAGTTCCCTAAACCCAGGGAGGGTGGCAGGCTGAGTGAGGGTCCCTCCCCTCATGACACCCCTTCTTGACTTCCTAGGATCCTGCCATCGCTGGAAGGCCCCCCTACCCAGGTGTCCCTGAGCAGCTCCGAACTTGGTGAGGGCTCCCAGCCTGATTGGCCAGGGGGCAGCCGCTATGACCTGGACGAGATTGATGCCTACTGGCTGGAGCTCATCAACTCAGAGCTCAAGGAGATGGGTAGGTGACCCTTCAGGCTGAGAATGGGATTGGGGGGACAGGGAGGGCAGTCTCCCAAACCTCAGCATCCTATCTCAGAAGGGCAGTGGCCAGGACTGGACTTTGGCATGGATCTGGGGCGGGGGGTCCCTACTCCATTGTAGATTGGAGAAATTATTTGATGTCTGTATAAAAATAATAGTATGTAGTTGCCATTCTTGGTTCTGGGGACTATTGTAGTAAGCATCAATGTTGCATGAAGAGTAAGGGAACACATATGAATCTAGAGTGACAAATGGGACCAGGGGTCAGTTGGGTCACTTGGTCAGGGCTCCTGGCTGGAGCCCACTCACATGTCTCAGGAAGGGCCAGCTCTGCTGTATTCAGCCACCTTCAGAGGTTCCCCCCATACGCACAATACAGTGGATTCTCTGTGGAGCCGGCCGCATCCCAGGGATACTCCCCTGCATCTGGTGATCTGCCTGTGGGGTCTCAGGCAGCCTGTCTGAAGTCATAATTCCACAGTGGACAGGGGCCTTGGAGATAGCCTGGTCCAGCCCATTCCGTTTCAGACGATGGAGCTGAGGCCCAGAGTCGGTGGCTGCTTTTTCACAGGTCACACAGCTGATGAATGGGAACACTCTTGTACATCTGTCCTGACTTCCTGCAGCCCCCAGAGCTGAGTGCTCCTCAGAGCTCCAAGGAGCCTGGGCTGCTAACACCCTCCCCTTTCTGTCCTCCCTATAGAGAGGCCGGAGCTGGACGAGCTGACCTTAGAGCGTGTGCTGGAAGAGCTGGAGACACTGTGCCACCAGAACATGGCACGGGCCATCGAGACGCAGGAGGGGCTGGGCATCGAGTATGATGAGGATGTGGTCTGTGACGTGTGCCGCTCTCCCGAAGGCGAGGATGGCAACGAGATGGTCTTCTGTGACAAGTGCAATGTCTGTGTGCACCAGGTGGGTAGCCTCTTAATGTCCCTAAACCCCACACACCACACACACACACTGCCTGGGCAGGCCTCCATCCCTCTGCCTGGAGCTCATCTTCCTGGCTGTAGGAGCACTGGGCCACTGTGAGCAAAGACCCCTAGGGAGGAGGAAGGGAATGGTGTGAGTACCCCGTGGTGCCAGGGACACCCAGGGCCACTTGACCCAGCCCTGCCAGCCAGACTTAAGTAAACTCCAGTTGGGTGTTCTTTTAATCCTCTCTCTTGACTCCCCTCTGACCTTCTCCACGGAGTACCTGCCCCATCCTCTACCCCCCACCCCCCCACCCCCAGCCCTGCTCCTCTGCTCCTCACCATCCTGTACTTACAAAGAGGCAGCACAGTGCAGTGATTGAGGGTAGAGCCTGGAGCCGAGCTGCCTGGTTTCAAATCATGGCTCTACCCTTCCCAAGCTGTGGGACTTCAGGCAAGTTTCTTAACCTCTCTGGGCCTCTGTTTCCTCAACCATAAATAACAGTGAGAGGATTAAGTTACTTACTACAAGTTATTTGCTTAAAACAGCATACTAACTGACAGAGACTGTAAATACTTGTTACCATTATTGGTATAAACCAGATGTGGCCTAACCAGCCCCCCTGTTGACTGTGGGCCCCAGATTGCTAGGTTTTTTGCATCTCTGGGCCTTGTTTACAGAAGACCTGACTAGGACCTAGGGGACCCCTCTCTGGGAAAGCCACTCTGAATTTGACTTTGAGGCTGCCCTTAAACCCACTGCTGATGGAATTGCTGCTGGGGAGCTCAGAGTCAGGGGCTTCACCTGGCTGGCAGGTGGGTAGGTAGTGTACCTCTTGTACATTCATATCCCCAGCAACTCTTAGGTCCACATGTCTCCCAAGACCAAGGCATGACAGAAGGAGCCCTGCTGACAGATCTCTGTGTAAATAATATGAAAGCTCTGGGCCTTGTCCCTAGGCAGTATATATCCTCAATTGTGTATTCAACTTAAGGGGCTTCGTGGACCCTCCTGAAGTCCATCTCCTATTTTGAACCTCTGGTTAAAGTGACTGTCTCCAGCAGGGGGCAGACCTGAGCGAAACACAGAGGACTTATCTGAATGGTGACGTATTAGGCACACTCTGCAGGCAGAGAGCTTCCCAGGAGGCCTCCCTCCTGGAGGCTGGAGTCAGCATAGCAAGGTAGTTCAGGGTTGGGGCTGGGACTGGGACTGAGGCCATTCCCAGCAGTCTGCTGACCCGATGTGGATTGGCCAACGACTCTGACTCATGACCACCCTGCTTTCTCCCCAGGCCTGCTACGGGATTCTCAAGGTGCCCACGGGCAGCTGGCTGTGCCGGACGTGCGCCCTGGGTGTCCAGCCAAAGTGCCTGCTCTGCCCCAAGCGAGGAGGAGCCCTGAAGCCCACCAGGAGTGGAACCAAGTGGGTGCACGTCAGCTGTGCCCTGTGGATTCCTGAGGTGAGCAGGCGTGGGGGCAGGGCCGCCCCGGGGGAACAGCCCGTGGAGAAGTGGGTCTAGGTGGAACTCAAAGCTCAGGCAGCAGGGCACTGGGAAAAGAGTGCTGGCCCTCAGGAACTGAGGCAGTGAACCTGCATTAAAACAGGAGGATGTCAGGCAACAGGTCTGGGCAGAGCTCAGGCAGCAGCCCCCAGGGAGCTCAGCCTGTGGACCTGGGCAGAAGTCAGATGGTAGTTCCCGTGGGACGGGGGTTATCGAGCTTGGGGGATACAAGTCTGGGGTCTGGACGGGCAGCAGACTATAGGGAAAGCAGGTTCTGGGTCCATCCAAACCTAGGCAGTGGTTCCAACCAACGTGAAGCCCCAGGTTTAAAACAAAAATGAGTCACTGACCTTAAAGAAAATCAGGCAGTGAGCCTAATTAAAATTTGGGTAGTGAGTCTGCTCCAGCCATGGCTGGGATGGAAAGGCAGGCCTGTGTCTGAGTCCAGGTGAGGAGAGTGAGTTAGCAGACTCCTAGGTTCATGGAAGCCCATCCCATTTTATTTGAAATGTGAAGTGTTGAAGTTCACCAGCATTTCAGCTCCTGCCCTGCTGTGTGCCCTGACCCAGAATGTGGCCCGCTTCAGTGCTGCCTAAGCCGGGAGCAAGCCAGGTGGCCCTGTCAGCGGGTGGCCCTCCCCTTGCTGGGCCTCATATCGCAGGCTTCTGTGATGGTAGTTGTCTGTGTCAGCAGTAGTCACTTGCTCCCAGATCAGCACTTAAGGGCTGGAGCTACCTCAGAGTGTACTCTGGGCTGGGCATAGTAGGGACAGAGGAACCAGTGAGGGCCCCACTGGGGGCCTTCTCAGCCTCAGGGTGTGGTATCCATGCGAGGGCTCTGTTCAGGACCTTTGGGCATGGCCCTTCTTCCAGTCTCAGGCAAGGACAGTGGGAGGCGAATTGCCCTGCCTCTGGGGTGGATGAATGGGCTGTTCCCAGTAGGAGGGGAGGGTTGTAGGGTTGGCCTGTTCCAATAGGAGGAACGGAAGTGGCTGAATAGAGGCACATCCCCCATGCGCTAGGAGAGCCCTGGAGGCCCAGCAAGAGGAGATGCTGTCATGAGGCCCTTTCCTGGTACCCAGCAGAATAAATAGAATGTATAAAAGTTGTAATAAGAACTCGGGAGATGCTATTAACAAAGGCCTGAAGTGTGGAGGAAAGGAAGAGTTTTCATACACAAACACACACACACACACTCGTCTACCTCAAGGCCCACCCGGTCACAGACACGCACAGTCAGCCAGTCGTGCACTGATGCACACTCTCTGATATGTTTATGAACAGTTGAAAATCAGTCATTGATGAGCACACATTACACGCTTACCCAGGTGGTTGACCTGGGACAGCTAGGAGGGACTTGGGCCTTTGAGCCATGCTTGTTTGGAGTCAGGAAGGACCTGGATTTGAAGCCTGTCCCGCTGCCCTGTCTGTCCCACCACCTGATTTCATCAGATAACCCTTACTTTGGGTTCCTTGGAGGCAGGCTGGGGATGAGGGGCCTGATGCAGCTCCCTGTGTCCTGCCCAGGTCAGCATCGGCTGCCCCGAGAAGATGGAGCCCATCACCAAGATCTCACACATCCCAGCCAGCCGCTGGGCTCTGTCCTGCAGCCTCTGCAAGGAGTGCACAGGCACCTGCATCCAGGTACATGGCTCACTGCACCCCCTGCTGCTGGAGCCCATATGGGAGCCAATGGACCGAGGACACTCCTGGGAGCCTAGGAAATGGACAGCTGCCACCGTCCTCCACCTACCTCCATGGTCACTGATGGGCCAGGGGAGGGCCAGGGAGGCATGGGACTGGGTCCCCACCTGGGGCAGGGCATTACTCCATCCCCTATTTCTCCAGGGAGCGGGGGCGGACCTGGGGAGCTAAGGTTTAGCACCCCACTGCAGTGCTGAGAACTCTGGCTTTCCCCAAGAGTAAGTGCCGTGGGCTGGATAAGTACATTGACCTCGCTTTTGACATCAAACTTGGTTTGTGGGAGGGGTAGGAATCAAACCTCTTCTGCAGCTAAGCTAAGACGCTCTCCCAACACAGGGCAGAGCTTCTCTAGTCTGTCCATATCAGAGATTCCCAAACTCTAGTGTGCGTTAGAATCACCTGGAGGACTTGTTAAAACACAGATAGCTGGGCCCCACTCCCAGAGGTTTTGACTCAGTAGGTCTGGAGTGGAGCCTGAGAATTTGGTTTTCTAGTGAGTTCCCAGGTGATGCTGATGTTTCTGGTCTATAGGTTGGCGGTGGAGGGTTATCCTTTCTCCCCCTCATCTCTCCAAGAACAGAGTTGTCATTGCCAAAACTAGATGTGCCTCATCCATTCATAAACCAAAAACCAAACCTGTTGTTATTGAGTCAATTCCAACTCATGGCGACCCTTTAGGACAGAGTACAATTGCCGTACAGGGTTTCCAAGGCTGTAAATCTTTACGGAAGCAAATCGCCAGATCTTTCTCCCTCAGAGCAGCTGGTAGGTTTGAACTACTGATCTTTTGGTTAGCAGCAAAGTACTTAACCACTGCGCCACCAGGGCTCCTTTTCACCCATTCATAAGACCTTCAAAATGCCTTGTAACTCCAGCATAAATGGTCACTAATAGTTGGATGGGCTATTGCTGAAATAGTCTTCAGCCACCCACAGCTGTCATCTGAGGCTGGGAGGGAGGGGCAGTTCCTGAGCATACTGGGCAAGACGAAAAGGAAGGGGTCCAAGTCCAGCCCCACCTCCCGGAAGATAAAGCAGGTGGGGAGGAGGGAGGACAATGATTCTTACCTTAGATAACATTGCAGAAGAGGTTATGAGCTAAGATCAGCTTCTTTCTTTTGATGCCTTCTGATCTCAAAGCTGTTTTGCCCCCGCAAAAATGCAGCTTGTCCCCAGAGGAGTTGCCCAGTCATCTGCTAGTGGTTGATTTCCCCGGGATACACAGTGCTGAGCCCCATTCCTTTTCCATATCACCCGGGGCTCCCTGTTCCCCACCTGCCAAAGCTTCACACTTCTTAGGATATTGTAAGTCTTATCACATTTTATTTAGGGTCTCACCAGTATTCTGGCCTCTCAGTAGAACCCTAGGGGAAGCCCCACATCCTTGTCGCCCCCAACCAGGGCTCCTTTCCTGCTCCTGGACTCAGCCTGACTCTGCCCTTCCTCTCCTGCCAGTGCTCCATGCCTTCCTGCGTCACAGCGTTTCACGTCACATGCGCCTTTGACCATGGCCTAGAAATGCGGACTATATTAGCCGACAACGACGAGGTCAAGTTCAAGTCCTTCTGCCAGGAGCACAGTGACGGGGGCCCACGGGGTGATCCCACATCCGAACCTGCAGAGCCTAGCCCAGCCGGTGAGGACCTAGAAAAAGTGACCCTAAGAAAGCAGCGGCTGCAGCAGCTGGAGGAAGACTTCTATGAGCTGGTAGAGCCAGCTGAGGTGGCTGAGCGGCTGGACCTGGCAGAGGTGTTGGTTGACTTCATCTACCAGTACTGGAAGCTGAAGAGGAAAGCCAATGCCAACCAGCCGCTGCTGACCCCCAAGACCGACGAGGTGGACAACCTGGCCCAGCAGGAGCAGGACGTGCTCTACCGCCGCCTCAAGCTCTTCACACACCTGCGGCAGGACTTGGAGAGGGTGAGTACCCCTGCTGCCCACCCACCGCCTGGTGGGCATCCCAGGAGCTATTTTCACTTCACACTCAACTGCCTGGGACTAGCCATGGTTCACCAGGACTCAGACTGTGAGCTGTGGCCCGCTGGTCCTGCCGAGATGCTAGCCAAGGGGCTGAGGGCTTCCAGGTCTTAGAAAGAGCAGGGCTGACTGATACTATGAGAATAGGGAGGACCCAGCTTGTTGAGTCTCTTGAGTCTCTTTCCCAGCCCTTTCTCAGGGTCATGAGGCTGGGGAGCACCAGCGATGGGACAGGACCCCAGGCTTCTGACGTCTAGTTGCCACTGACTCCATTTGTGGGCTCCATAGGCCCTGCCTTCAACACGGGAGCTTCTGGTTAGAATCTGAAGCAGGGGAGGAACTGGGGCCTGCCAAGCTGCCACCCTCACCTGTGCTTAGAGCCTGGGTCCCAGGTGTGAGGATTGTTAAATCAGCACAGCCGGCGTGTGCTGGGCCAGGCAGGACAGACAGATGTGGGCAGTAGACAGAGATCCTGGAGGTGTGCAGTGTGTGTGAGGATTGGCAGCTTAGCCTGTGTGGGACGGGAAGGATGATGCTGGAAGGGCCTGTCGTCGCTGGTAGATTTCAGGGGCTGGGTTGGTGACCAAGTGTGTCAGGAAGCTGCAGAATGCCTGATGTGGTGGGAACTTCCAAGCACTCCTGGAGCGGGGGTCATAGGGTCCAAAATGGATGAATTGGCTGAAAGCCCCCCAGCTGTGTGATGTGGTAGAGAAGATAGTGGCTGGGTCCAGAGTGGTGGCTTTGGGGTGAAAGCAGGAGGGGAACAGATGCCAAGATTTTGTGCTGGGGTATGGGCGGGCACGCAGTGAGAGTAGCGTACCTGGTGCATGGAGGCCCCCTCAAAGCCTGCAGCTCCTCCCAATCCTTCAGAAGGAAGGTGAGGGAGGGGGCCTGCCTTCAATGGAGTGTGTCCCCAAACTTGGCTGTTCTGGTACACCTAGGCCACCTCCAGCTGGTGGATCACCCCTCTCCAGGTTGGGGGCAACTCAAGGATGAGGCAGGCTGTTCTGGCCTCTCTTCCTCTCTGGGATAGAGAGGATTCCAGAGCATGTGGTATCAGACATGTCACAGTGCCCCCCAGTCTGTACAGACACACATGCCCACGCTCTCCGCAGGCTGTGCTAGGAAACAGCCCTAAGTGGAAGCACTAAGGGAGCTTTGTGTGACCTTAGGCAGCTGCTTTTTTTAATCTGCATCTCAGTTGGCAAGTCTGTAAAATGAGCAAATTGGCAGGCGTTGTAATGTGCTATGTAGGGGGAAACATGAGATGGAGGTTCCAGATTTGCCGCACTCCCCTTCACCACACTCATCTGCCCTGGGGCCTGGTCAAGGGGGAAATGACCGTGATTGGCCTGGGAAGGGTCAGGAAGGGACAGACAGGGAGGAGAGACCAATGCCCCAGGCTCCAGCCAACGCAGACAGCACGGCCACCTGCACTGCAGCCCCCACCTCCTGAGCAGTCTGGCCGCCTATTACATACGGCAGGTGTGTCAGGTACAAGCCCTCTGAGAACCACAGCTGCTTCCAGAGCTGTTCTCAGGCCACCCCCGTCTCCACCCTTAGTGTCTCCAGCACAGACACCAGCTTTTGCTCCTGATCTGTTTTCCAAACGACTCAGCAGATCTGACCTCCCTGGTCTGTGCTGGACATCCGTGAAGTCTGCCCACGTGCCTGGCCCTGGCTAGGCTGTGTGGGGAGGCCAGGGGGTGGGCTCACTTCTTTAATCATCGCAGTTGTCGTGGGAAAAGAAAGGTGGGGTGGATACTCCCAGCCCTACTGAGCAGTTGAGGAAACTGGGCTCAGAGAGACGAGGTGACAGGAAGCCTTAGGGGAACTTGGGTTTCCTAGAGTTTGAGCTCGAATTTGGGCCTGAAAGTGGGAGTTGTTGGGAAGAGAGATGTTGGCTTATCCTCTATTCCTTAAATGCCCTGGGCAAGAGTATCCCTTATCAATCCTCCCAATATCCGCACTCCAGTGTTAGCTGGTACAGGTGGGGCCAGGGGCTGGGATGCCAGCGAGCCTGCTGGGGCAAGGCTCTGGGGTTCCAGGACAACCAGAGCTGGGGCACAGACCCCTCTAATGAAGGGACAGGGTCCTCCAAGGTCAGGTGTGAACCAGTGCACTCTCCTCCAGGAGGAGGAAGCAGGAGAGACTGAAGTCTGTGCAGCTTCTTAGGGCTCGGGAGGACCCTGTCAAAATTCTGCTTCCCTAGCAGCCACTGAACTGGGCTTGGGGACACCAGCTTGACAAGATCTAGGACACAGGGCTCCGGGCACTAGCTGAGAGCAGGGCGAGGGAAGGAACAGCCCTGGCAGGACCAAGGAGAGGAAGGGTGTCAGACACAGTGATGTACCAGGCTCACCCAGGCCTCAGGGCCTTTCATGGCCACGTGTTGGTGGCAGTGAATGAACAGAGCTGAGAACTATGCTTGTGGGGGAGGCTTTCTGCAAAGACCCATGACCTGGTGGTCTGTCTAGGCCCGGTCTCCAACCATGGCCCAGTGCCAGCAGCCAAGAGTGTCCAGCCTGGGACTGGGCAGCTGGCCAGCTTGGGCATGGAGCCATCAGGGGGGTGGTGTAGGGGTTAAGAGTGAGGCCTGGGGTAGGCTGGGTTTGCATCCAGTTCCAGCACTTCTCACTCAAAGTGTGTTTCCACTTCTTTGAGTTTCCCTTTCCTTGTCTGTAGAATGGGATTAAGGATCACGCTAACCTTGGGATCGCACAGAACACGGGTACAGAGCTTAGCACAGTGCCCTCAGCTGTTGGCCATGATTATTGTGGTTGCTCTGGCTGTGCAAGCAGTTTGGCTCCTAGAGGAAAGGAGGCCATGCTTTGCACTCTGAGGGTGGGCTGCACGGGGGGCCAGCGGGGCAGGGGGTGTCCTCCCTGATTGATCATTTGCCCCCTTCGTAAGACTGGGCAGGGTGTTTTCTGAGAAGCAGGAGCCGGGACCGTGCTGCCAGCCCCAGCATGAAATTTTATCATCAGCCCAGAAAATTTGCTTTCCTAAAATTTCAGCCATAGGCCTTGGCCCTGGCAGGCAGCTCGGGAAGGCGTGGCTGCTGCAGCTTCCCAGAGTTATTCATGGCTAACAAAAAAATTGCAGCAGTGACGATTAGCCCAACAAACGCTGACTGGTGTCCCCTAGCAACCACACTGGCAGCCGGGCTGCGTAGGGGCCTGCTGCCTGTAGCTCGGGATCTGGTTACCCAGAGTTTATTTGAGACCTGGCAAGCTTGAGGAGGGGCCAGGAGAGTGAGGCAGCTCCCAGACACACATGCCCTAGATAATGGACATGTCGGAACTCCCAAGGGCCTCACTTCTACAAGCTCTCCCAAGGAGAGGAAGGCTTGGCTGAGAAGTGGGTCCTGCCCTCCCCGTCTCCTTATCACTTGGCTACGCCCCACTTATCTGTCCTTGGTGCCTGGATAGTGGTCCCCTTGCTTCCCCTCCTCCCCTACCAAAGCCTGCCTTGTTCTGGGCAGCTCAACCTCCAGACCTCTGGCTCCCTGGCTCCCATACCTCCCATCTCTAGGACTTCAACACGTTAGTGCCCTCACCCGACACAAACCCAGTCACCACCCCGAACTGCCGCTTCTTGACCAGAGCTCCTGTTCTCCCTGTTCACTTGCCTCCCAGGCACCTCACCGTTCCCTGTCCCCCCATTCTCTTCAGTCCCACCCAATTTGGCATTAGCACACCGCCCATGCCCTTTCCACCTTGCAGAGGCCACACACCTGGTGGACCCTCACCCAGGAGGAGCCATTGTCTGCCCGGTGACGGCAAGCCCACCAGGAGACATCCTGTAGCAGTGAGCAAGCAGGTGCCACCAAGGTACCTACCAGCCAGCTAGCAGGACACACCGTGAAGTAAATGTCATTTCCGCAGCCGATTTTTTTTTTTTTCTTCCCCAGTTGCTGTGGAGTCATTTCCAACTCATGGTGACCCATCTGTGTTAGAGTAGAACTGTACCCCATGGGGTTTGCAATGGCTGATTTTTCAAAAGTAGAATGCCAGCCAGCTCTTTCTTCTGAGGCACGACTAGGTGGAGTTAAACCTCTAACCTTTCAGTTAGCTGCTGAGTGCATTAGCCGTTTGCGCTACCTAAAGACTCTTCTTCTTTGTTACTACACTGAAATTCAAGAAACTGTAGTTTTACTTAACCTAGCTGCCCCTTTCTCCAGGAAGTCTTCCTCACCGCCCCAAGTCTTGTCCTGTCAGTACTTGCATAGCACCTGTCTGCTCTGCTGGATGGCGAGCCCTGAGGACGTTATTGCTCACTGCTGAGCCCAGGATCCATCACAGCACCAGTTCACAGAGCTGAAACCTGTGCTTAGGGGTGCGAGGGGAGGAGGCTGGGGGAGGGGACGCCCTGAAGGTGATCATGAGGAAGTCCAGGATTTGACAGGAAGTCTGGCCAATAGGCCAGAGCTAGGGGCCACAGGCTGGGGCCAGGTGATCACAGCCCAGAGCTGCCCCTTTGGGGGATTGTTGGCCGTGGGGAGTGGGAGGGGGTGGGTAGAGTTGTGTTGCAGAGGTGGGTGGTGCCATGGCTTGGTCTTCACCATCTAGGCCCGGAGGTGATATGTACCAGTGTGGAACGCTACCAAAAGTCCATGCAGAGCTCATCCTGTGGAGGCTTGAGTCTGGACCCGGTATTCTAGGATCTCCTTCGTGGTTGGGCTCAAGAAGGAAGGAGGATGCCCATGTGCAGCAGAGAGGTCTGAAATCACAGCTGCTTCCAAGCTTGAAGAAATGTGATCATGCTAAGAGGCGGGAGCTCTGAAGACTGAACTCATCCTTGAAGACACAACCCAGCTGGAGACAGGCACTAGCCTCTGCTGGAGAGAGACCGGTGGGACCCAGGATTCAAGCTCAGCAACTCTTGGCTATCTGTACCTACTACTAGAGGCTCTGTCCTGAGCTGAAGATGACCCCAGGCCAAGGAGCTTTCTCAAAGGAGGGGCCCTGATCTTGGCTCCAGAAGTGTGACCTACTCTGAGAGCAGCCGATGAGGGATGGCACACTGCAGTGAGGTGCCAGGTGAGCAGGCACAACATGACCCACACTTCAGGTGCCTCCCTGCCCCATGCACTAAGCAAGCTGGTCTCTGTGGCCCTGAGGGGCTCTTCCCGGCTGGCCTGAGGGAGCTGGAGAGGTCCCTGCCCCCTGAGGAGTTCTATCTCAGGCTGAGCAAACATGGCCATGTGGATGTGGGGGCCTTGGCTAGAGCATCTTGGCCATGGCTTGGGTCCCAATGCAGCAGGTGGACATGAGTCAGCCAGACTGGGCACCGGTGGGCCAGGGGCTGCCTGTCTGCTCAAGGCTATTCTGTTGCAGCTCTCTCTAGCTTCATGTACCGTGGTCATTCGTGGTTCAGGGCAAGTGTTGGTTTTCGCTATGGGGCTTATGGCTGAAGAGTTTCTTTGATGTGAAGGAGAGGCTGTGGACAGGAGGCAAAGGGATGGACCTTGAGAGGCTTTGATGAGCCTTGGACCACTGTATCTGCAGGGGAGAGCCACAATGTTGGAAGAGCCTTGGGAGGCGTCATGGCTGATTACACCAAGAACTTAAGACTGAGAGAAAGAGGTGGAGTTACCAGCCTGAGCTCACCCCATGCTCTCTCATGCCCACTCTGGCTCAGCCAGGGGCCACGGGGCCAAGGCTGTGCCTAGGCCCGTGGTTGGATCAGACAACTATGGCACAGAGCTGAGGATGCACTCTGGGGTCTGGGAATTGATTCCCAGATGTCCTGGGCAGGATAGGCAGTGGTGGCAGCTGAGGCCTCTGCCCTGGGCATGGCCTTCACCAGTGCAAGGCCCTCCAGAGCTGGGAGGTCAGGGGTGGCTGCCCGTGAGTAAGGTGGAAAATCTTTCTTGTGTTTCCTCAGGTTAGAAATCTGTGCTACATGGTGACAAGGCGCGAGAGAACGAAACACGCCATCTGCAAACTCCAGGAGCAGATATTCCACCTGCAGATGAAACTTATTGAACAGGATCTGTGTCGAGGTAGGCGTCTTCCCTGCCCACCGCCAGCCACGCTCTCTCCGGGATGGGTGCCAAGGAGGGTGTGTCTTCAGGGCCCGGTGGGAGCATGTGTGTGGGGCCAGAGACCACTGGTCCCCACCCCTGCCCTCCACCATCCAGTTAATAGGCTGAGAGGGGGACTTCCCAGTGTCCTAGTTGTGTTGGTAGACAAGGAACCAGAGGTTGGAATGTGGGCATCAGGCTTCCCTCAGGGAACCCAGGCAGCGCCAGGGCCACAGCAGTTCAGGAGCAAACTGCATGTGAGCAGGTGCAGACCAAAAGTCCTAGCAGCTGTATGCTAGTATGGAGGAAGGAAGGGTCAGAAGCTGGAGAGCCCCCACAAAGCCCACCCCATCTGCCTGGGTGTTAATTCTGAAGAATGCAGCTGCGCCAGAGGTGGAACACGACCTGTGTATTTTTTCTCTCTAACCGTTGGGATTCAGGCCTTGCACCAGTAGGTTTTTTCTCCGTTTTTTTCTGATTCTCTTAATATAACATGCACTCTAGAAATCGAAGGCCAAAGAAGCCCTGACATTGCTCTTACCTGTTAATTGCGGATATTGCCACACACAGGGCTCTTCCTGGATTGTTGTCATTTTAAGGAAGGCAATGCTTAACCCAAAAGAATGATGCTCTAATGTCAAATTACATGCTGCAGAAGTAGCTGGATGAGGAGAGCTTTTGAGCTGGGGCTGCCACTGCCAGCTCAGCCTCTGGGTAAGGCCGGGCCTGGAGTGGAAAGGAGCGCTGTTGGGCTACCGCTGGAGCACTTGATTTAAGGACCGATACTGCCCCAACCCTGCCCGAGAGCTGAGCTGCCTCGATAGCCTTTGGTATCACCACCCACTGTGGCCCGAGACATCAGCACTGCTACATGCATGTGCTGGATTAGGGCAGGTTACGGCCATGCAGAGGTCAGAGCTCACCATGGACCTGAAGACTGTGGCAGCTTCCTGGTTTCCAGAACTTACAGGCTCCTTCTTGTGATCATTGGTTCATTGAGTACTAACTGAGAACCGACTGGGCACACTTCAAGGCACACCGCAGGGGACTGAGTCGTCAGGGTTCTTGCCCTCATGGAGCTCACCGACAGGAAGGATAAAAGGAAGTGAACACACTGAATTGGCAACTGAGAGGCTGAAGTTGGTGCCGATGTAGGGACAGATGGTATCAGGGTGGCGTCACAGAGGCGATGGTGCTAGAGTAATGTCCTAAGGCCTCCTAGCACCTCTGCTGTGGCCACACATCCAGAAGGAGAGCTTTCCCAGGCCCCAGAGGCCCACACACACAAGGCAACCACAATCAAGGAAGCAGAGAGTGGAAACACACGAGCAGTGCCCTGAGGGACCCAACCCTGCATTACATTGGTGACATTTGCAGCTCCGTGACCTGAGTGGCAGAACAGACAGCTGCTTTGTTCAGGGCAGGGCATTTGGAGAGAGGGCTGGTTCACCCCTCCCGAAGCTGATGCCCACACTGTTGCGACACTTGACACTTGAGGTGTGATACGGGCTGTGAGCACATTGCCTGTTCTGGCCTGAGGACTGAAGAACGCCTCCCAGTGGAAGTGATATTGAGGCTGCCAGCTGAACCAAGTAAAAGAAAAGATAAGGAAACAGCATATTTGGAGACCTAGAGGCCAGACGTGTCTTGTTAGAGAAACTGGGGCAGAAGGAAGATGTGTAAAGTGAGGCCGTGGATGTGTCAGGGTCAGGTAGGCAAGACCTTGTGACCTAGGGAAGGAGCTGAAACTATTCTGAGGGCAGTGGGGAACCACAGAACACCCCCCTCCCAGGTATCTAGGCATTGATCCCATGTTATAGATGAGGAGACTAAGGCCAGCAAATAGGAGGCACCTGCCCTGAGGCTGCACAGTGGGTTAACAGCAGAGCTAGGAAGATTTTCAGAGCTGGGGCCACACCTCTCATTCAGCCTTCTCTTAAACCCTTGTTTGGGTAGCCCTCTTTCCTCTGGCTGAGACACCAGCTCAAGAGGCCCAGTGTTGTGGGGCCTCCTCCTCCACGTGTCCCTCCCCTACTCCGTGTTCTCTGTGGCTCCCTAGACCTAAGTGGTCATGGGCTGAAAGGGTATGAGGACCAGGTGTGTACTGTGAATCTTCATCTACTACCTGACCTTGAAAGTAGACCAGAAAACTGAGGCAGGGGACTTGGTAAAGGGAGCGGATCACTGCGTCAGGACTGGAAGGCAGGCCTCTTGATTCCTCAGGTAGTGTTCTTTCCATTTTCATGTCCAGCTCCTTCACCTGCCCAGACCCACCCTCAGTCCACCTTCCCACCCACCAAGAGGCCTTGTAGGTCCCATAGGGTATGATCTACGTGTAGGTCAAGTCTACATGGGCCTCTCCTCCGGGTCCTGTACCCTCCCCAAGACCCCAGGCTCTTCAAGGGCAGCAGTGGACAAATACCTGTCTCGCCCACACTTGGCTGTCGTCTGACTCACTGGAGCCTGGTTTTCCCAGGATCCTCACAGCTCTCACCCAGGTCACAGGGGCAGGGCAGGGTGGCTTGGAGAGGGAGTCACTGGATTGATGGAGGACTCCTGGAATGATACGCAGTGATCTTGGTTCTGACTGAGACCACTTGGGGTAACCACCCGCCTCCCTCCTCTTGCTTTCCCTGATGCAGAGCGGTCTGGGAGGAGAGCAAAGGGCAAGAAGAACGACTCGAAAAGGAAAGGCCATGAGGGCCCGAAGGGCAGCCCCGAGAAGAAAGAGAAAGTGAAGGCTGGGCATGAGTCTGTCCTGGGGCAGCTGGGTGAGTGAGTGGCCATGCTGGCCTGGTGGACATGGCCAGGCTCACACCATCACCCTGCTGTGCACCCCCCATAAGGCCAGGAGGACCACAGCACACCCACTGCACAGAATGGGAGACTGAGGCCCAAACAGGGTGTGACCAGACCCTCCCATGTGCTCACATCTTCCATCCATAAAGGAGACCAGGGTCTCAGAGGCCCGTCTGACATCCTGAGAAGCCCCCCTTCTGTGAACTGGAGGCTCAGGAACTGTTTGGTCATTCCCCTTGGCCGGGGCCCTGGATGTTAGATTTTCCCAGACGACTTCAGGGGGCCTCGAGGCCTTCTAGGCCCTTCCAGAAACCCAGCCCCATGCTAGGAGGTGAGGGTCTGCCAAAAACCTCCATCCCTGTCCCACTCTGGCAGAGTCATCTGAACCTTCAGACCCCATTGGGTGGGGAGTGGAAGCTTCCGATGGTTCCCCCAGTCAGTGCCAGTGAATCTTTCTGGAATTGCCCAGAGAGGCAGAGGCCCATAGAGTAGCAGTGGGTCCTGTCCCAGCTGCTGTCTTCACAGCAGCCTTTGAGGGCCCCTAGCATTGGGCTCTGGCCAGAGCCTGTCTCCCCAGGATGTTACTTGCTTTTTCCAGGGCACTTCTCAGGGATCAGACTGGAGTTCTCTTCCAGAGCTCTCCTCTAATAACGCAGAGGCCCCAGGTCATCTTTTGTCCTCAGTCTAATGAAGGGGCAACTTGAGTGGCTAATGGGAGACTGTAAGTCTCACCAGCTGTCCCCTTCCAAGACCTCAGTAAAGGAGGGAGGGCCCAAAGCCAGAACTGGCCCTGACATCCAGGAGAGACCTCCTGCCCAGATGGACCCCACCACCCCATACACGCCTGACATCTTGCTTTGGAGTTCCTGGCTTTGGAAGCTCTGGGAAGCATGGCTCATAAAAGTCCAGCGCCCCCTGGTGGCCTGAGAACGTTACTCTCCATCCACTACCCCTGCAGTGGGGCTGGGCTGGGCTGGGCCGCTTCCTGGGCACGAGGCCTATATGGTTACATAGACCCCACCCTGAGGAGGGCCTGGGCTTGGTTTAATGCTCTGCTTTTGCCAGGATGAAATTCTTCATAAATTTGGAACAAGGGGCCCCACATTTTCATTTCACACTCTACCCTGCAAATTATGTAACCAGCCCTGGGGGTGAGTGGACCTTCTAGGGAGAGGGGTATATAGTGTGGACCCTGCTCTTTGGTGGTGTTTGCAGAAGGGATGGACAAAATAAGATACTTGATTGGGAGGAAGAGAGGGTGGAAAGCACCCAGCTGTGTACTGGGGATGATCACAGAGGGCTGCCTGGAAGAGGGAGTGAGACACAACAGCTGCTGACATCTCACCTGCCTCCTCTCTCCCCTTGGCCAGGCCTGTCCACTCCATTTCCCATCGACGGCACCTTCTTCAACAGCTGGCTGGCGCAGTCGGTGCAGATCACAGCAGAGAACATGGCCATGAGTGAGTGGTCACTGAACAATGGACACCGCGAGGACCCTGCCCCAGGGCTGCTGTCGGAGGAGCTACTACAAGATGAAGAGACGCTGCTCAGCTTCATGCGAGACCCCTCGCTGCGACCTGGAGACCCTGCCAGGAAGGCCCGTGGCCGCACCCGCCTGCCGGCCAAGAAGAAGCCGCCACTGCCACAGAATGGGCCAGGGCCACAGACAACTCCAGACAAATCCCCCAAGAAGCCCTGGGGCCAGGATGCTGGCAGCGGCAAGGGGGGTCAAGGGCCACCTGCCAGGAAACCACCACGGCGGACACCTTCTCACGTGCCGTCTAGCCCTACGGTCGGGGACTGTCCCATCCCAGCAGCTCCTGAGAGCCCCCCACCACTGGCCCCTGAGACCCCGGACGAGGCAGCCCCCGTGACTGCTGACTCGAATGTCCAAGTGCCTGGCCCTACAGCAAGCCCCAAGCCCTTGGGCCGGCTCCGGCCACCCCGTGAGAGCAAGGGAAGCCGGAGATCGCTGAGTACCAGGCCAGATGCCGGGACAGGACCACCTTCTGCTGTGGCCGAAAGGGCAAAGGTCAGGCTACGCTTCGACACTGAGACTGATGGCTACTTCTCGGATGGGGAGACGAGCGACTCAGACATAGAGGCCAAGGACAGTGGGGTGCAGCGGGGTCCCCGGGAGGCGGGGGCTGAGGAGGTGGTCCGCATGGGTGTACTGGCCTCCTAACTCACCCCTACCCTGCCCTGGGCCCTGCCCTGGTTGCCCACAAGGCCTCAGCCCAGTCACAACTGCCATTTCCAATCTCTGCTGAGTGTCCCAGACCCATGAGCTGCCACTCTGTTATGGTTTTATTTTTAATATAGAGAGAGTTTCAGATTCCACACTGTTGTCTTTCCTCTGTGCTGGCCTAGGATATTAGGATTCCTCCATGACTCTGGCCACAAGGGCCATGGCAGGTCCTCTGCACCAGTCCTGCTGGGGCAGCCTTTGTATCCGGGGCTCGCACAGCCCCACCGGCTCCTGGCTAGACATTGGCAAGGTGAAGAGAGCCCAGGACTGCAGTCCGCTGCCACTGGTGACACAGACTTGTTAGGGCATTATTTCATGGCAGATGGGCCAGCCCAGGGTCTGCCCCGCCTTGCCCCCAAATCCCACTGGGGTCTACTTGGGGGGTCCTGCTGCACTCTACTGATCCCCAAGAAAGTTTAATAAGCGATCCCTGGCCAGAGTTCTACTCACTGTCACAAGCACAATGAGCTTCTATGAGAAAGCACTGAGGGGGCGCAGGTGGCCCGCTGGTTCCACGGGAACCAGAAGCTGTTCTTGATCAACCCACGTCATCTGAGGCCTGCCCGCCCACCCCACGACCCTCCCTCCGTTGCTGCTCTGCCCCTGCCAGCAGCGTCCAGCCCAGCGGTTCTGGGAAGGGGTTCCCAGAATCCTTCCTACGCTGCGCCATTTACTCAGGGGACTCCCAAACAGCCAGCCGCCAGTGCAGGCAGGGGGCTGTAAGGGAGGGCCAGTGCCCAGACGGGTGTGGGGCTCCGACCAGCCCACTGCAGAGAAGCACTCTGGGGCTCCAACTTCCTTCTTCCTTTGGGGCCAGTCTCAGCTGAAGTCTGGTCACTCTCAGACAGAGCTGAGCAGACCAGACAGTTTGCCTTTTCAAGTTTCCCAGTCCTGCTAAGAGATGAGCTTCTTCCTCGGTTTCCTTTTGGAAACTCGTCCTTCCAATAAGCAGTGGGATCCCGGGGCCCACGGCAGACCAGTGCTGGCCTGCTGGAGCTGTTTTCGGTCTTGCTGGATGTTCCTGTGTTCCTCTGTCCCTCAGAGCCTTAACTCCCTTCCCCAACCATGCCCCCCTCCCCACCACTCATGCCCCACCTGTCCGCCCCACCTTCTATGTCCCAGGTAGTTGCTCTGAAGAGTTTTAGGGAGTGGCCCCAGGGTGATAGCTCAGGGAACAAACAAAAAAGGAATTCTGTGAAAACTTTTTTTTTCTTTTACCAATTACTCCTGGGTCACTTCCACCACTGGTAAAACCAGAACTTCTCCAACAAGAACCTTGCAAAAGTCCAGTGAATCAGTCGAATCATTCTGTGGATGCCAAAGAATATTTTGACCCAATACAGCACAGCCTGGACCTGACAACTTGTCATTTGGACTTTTTTTTTTTAATGGAGTTCTTTAGCAACCAAGTATAGCAACATGTTCACCACACATACCCAAAGAGACAGAGCCCAGGCTCTTGGATGCCTTTCTGCTGCTGAACTGCCCCCTGGGGTTGGATTTCAGATCCTGAGCTGGGCCCCCTGTGAGCTGTCCTAACTCTGAGACTCACAGGGGGGAAGATACTGATGGTGAAACTAGCCTGGAAAGAGTCTCATGTGGTTCCCCCCCCCGCACAAATACAAAAGGCGGAAATAACTGGGATGGGGAGCACCTTGACTACCCACCCTCTGACTCCAAAATGATCAAGGTACGACAGTGGCGTTGTCATTGACACTCAGTTCCGTGTGAATTTTAGCAAAACAGGAAGGAAGCAAAGATAATGACTCAGTTTAGAGGATCAAGCAAATGTATCCAGTTGGAGTAGACTCAGAGGGAGTGGGCATCATGGGTTTTGGGTGTTGGGATGGCATGAGCTACCCCGTAGGGCTTAGTCTACCTGCCTGCTTGGTAGTAGTGGCCAGTGCAGTATCAGCATCAGCATCACAACCCCCGTCTTGGTTTACTGCCTTTGAACAGACCTTCTTCCTACCCCATGCTTTGGATCACAACCTTGCCTGTGTTGGATTGCCCCCTGACCCCTAAGGAAGCAAAGGGACAAGCTTGAAGAACAACCAGATTCTGCTAGGGGTTGGCGGTGCCAGGTATGGCTCAGGTCAAACAGACTAGGCACTTGCTCCCTTACCCCTTCACTCCATCTTGGATCAGGGTCTGGGCTCTCTCGGGGAGGGGGCAGGTGGAGAATCAGTAGAGGGGCTGAACTGGTTAAGCCAGAAGGGGCGGCCAGCCTGCATTCTTCACAGAGCCTCTGCTCCAGTTGGCTGGCCGCTGGATTCTGGCCTGTCTTGGTTGGCTATTGCTTTGGACCGAACCATCCCTGGGGGCCTGCCTGCATCACCCGGTCTGTGTCCTGTGTTTGGCTGGCTGGTGGCACCTTCATTCCCAGGCCAGGCCCTAGAGCTGTCCTCACCAGCCAGCTGTCCGTCTCCAGATTGTCCACTAGGCTGCAAGAAGGTTAAGGATACCTGTCCCTGCCCGTTTTCTCCCCCATTAGCCACAGTCTCTTCACTCTTGTTCTGGTCTACTGTCCACAGTGTAGAGGGCTTGGCTGGCCCTGAGGCCAAGGCAGGCAGCAGGAGGAGGAGAAGGCAGAGGCCTTTTCCAGGCAGAGGCTAAGGGAGATCTTTCATTTGACCACCTCTTCCCACACTCACTGTCCCTCAAGGAGGGAGAAGCTGCTCCATAACTCATTCTGGCTGTCACCCCCCACCCCCATCCTGGTCTCCCACCAGGACAAAAACGTCTTTACCATGAGATAAAGACCCACCACCTCCTTCCCCCTCATCGTGGTGAGAAGGGATAATGTGCAAGGAAAGTATTTTTATGTATCATAATTGTATTTTGAGAGAAGAAAGGTAGAAGGGTTTATTTTATTAAATGAGCTCTGACTTTGTGAAAATGTTGAGCATTTGCGATGTCAGGGCCGCAGTGTCGTTGGAGAAGCCACCCAGGTTTTCAGACATGGGTGTTCAACTGTGGGTGTGTGAGTGTACCAGGGCACGACTCATGTATCCATGTGCATACGTGCTTGTTTCGTGTGGTGTGTGTGCACACTGTGAGGCCTGCTGGGGCAGCTCTAAAAAATCAACTGCCCAGTTCTGATGGACATTGGCAGCAGCTGGACTTGGCATCTCCTTGCTCTCTGCCAGATGTGGCCAACCTCTGCCCATGTCCGCACACAGCTCTGCAGAGTGATCTGGATCCCTGAGCCAAGTTTTTGGGGAGGCCACGCTCCCATGCCCGTGACCCAGCTGGCCACATTGGCCAAAGAGCCAGGGCTGGAGGCTGGAACTTTTCGTTGTTTTTTGAGACACTTCCTGCCACCTTCTCTTCAGATGCACACAACACTGTGCTTCATATCGGTTATGCGGGGGATGATATGAATGTCACAGGAGGAGATGCCTTCTGTCTTTGTTTCAAAGAAAGTGATGTGCCATTTGTTAATATACAAGAGAAATATAGAAAATATATTGAAAAGAGCAATTTTAAATTATTTTTGGCTTATGTTGCAATATTTATTTTCTTGTATTAGAAAAGATTCCTTTGTAGAGAAAAAATGTATTTTTCATTAACGCAAAGACCTATTTCTCCTTTTTGTACATTGTCCATGTTTGCAACCCTTAACAAGCAATAGAATGTATGGCCGCCTTGATGTGGCCAGTGCCCGCTGTGCTCTGCATGATTCTCTGTTGCTGCTGCTGCATAGCTCCCAGCCCCATCCTGTCCTGCTCACTCCATGGGGGCCTCCAGACCCCGGCCCCTGCCAGGCCCTGGGTCTTAAAGAGCCCTTTGCACTCCTCATGTGTTGGCAAATGCAGTTAATAAAGCAGTGTTTTCTGTGCTGGCTGGTGTGAGGCTCCGTTGCACTGGGGTAAGGGGCTCTGTGGGTCAGTCGGGACTGCCTTCTATGCACACACGCAGCAGTGGATTCAGTGAGTTTCCCAAGGGGACCTGCTGCTACCTCCTAAGGAATGGTAATAGTGATGCTTATACTGAGTGCTCCATATGCACCGGGTGCTGTGCTTTAAGGGCATTATTTCATTTGATTCTCACTGTTTAATCTCCTGCAGTTCAGAGAGGATGAGAGAGACGTACCAGGAAAGACTTCTCTGAGGCAGTGACACCATTCGTTCATTTAACAAGTAGTCTCTTGACTGCACCCCTCATTCTGCCAGTGTGCTGTGTTGTATACCGAGCATATCACCAGGCCCCTGCCCTCCTAGAGCTTCCAGTCAACTGAGACCTGAAGATTGAGTAGGGGTTGCTAGCCAAAGAGCCACTGGATAGAAGGAAGGGACAGGGAGCTTTCCTGATAGAAGGCTCAGCATGTACAAAGATAGATCAGACTATGTCTGGAAAGGGTCTTGAACCACCCCCTGAGAGCCCAAGGGGAAGCTGTGTGGAAAGGGGGTTGAACTGGGACTTAAGGAATCTAGCTTCTGTATCCAGTGCTGTAGTTGTCAGCCACATAGAACTGCTCCATTTCCTCACCGGTACAATGGACAGTAGGTCACCAAGGGCCCTTCCAGATCCAAGGTTCTGTATGTCTACAAGGCAGAAGGCCTTGGAAAGAAACTTGGGGTAGAGTGTGTTTGTGCCCACTCTGAATGCCTGTGGAGGGAGGCCTTCCTCCGTGACATCCCTGCAGGGGGCCCCAGGGAACCCTGACTGACTAGGGAATGTGGGAGTTCTCTCAGGGCACCAAGCCAGGGATCCAGCAGCTGTGAGTGGGAAGGGCTCAGGGCCATACAGGCCGGTTTGCTCCCAGCCAGGACTGACAGCCAATGGCATAGGGATTTGCAGAAGATATGGTCTGGGCATCTGCTGGACAGGGGCACATTCACTCACCCACCTTCATTCATGCATTGATTCAGCCCCCGTGGAGCACCTGCTGCTGGCCAGGACGCCACCGTGACCATGGTCCCCTCGTGGCCAACCAAGCCAGTCAGGAGACAGACATATCAGATCATCCCAAATTACACAGATTGGGCTGCAAACAAGGGCATGGGGCAGTGAGGGAGGATAGAGAACTGGGGGCTGAGGGAGGTCTCTGCTGTCTCTGAACTTGCCTAAACCTCTCAAAACTCCTGTGAAGCAGAGCCTGGGGCGCCACCTGCTGCCCATCCCACCCAGGCTCAGATGCCTTCAGCTCCAGCTGCCAAGACCCACAGGACCAGGGCCACCTCGCATCCCTAAGGCTCAGAACTCCAACCTCCCTCTTCCCCCGTCCTCCTTGAGGCTCCTACATGCCAGTGCCTCCCTTTTCTTAGCCAGCTAGGGCAGAGAAGGTCCTCTGTCTCAGCCTTCAAGGACAGGGAGGCAGTTAAAGGGAAGTTGCCTCCTGGGAGAGTAAGGTGTTGACTGAGGCCTGCTGGATGCCCAGCCCTGGGTTGGGTAGGGAGGCCAAGGAGACCCAGGTCCTGCATTCTTGTAACTGCTGAAGAAAGGAAGTCAACCCTGGGTTAGAGAGGGAGTGCTTGGTGTTCCCAGAGCTGGCCTCAGTCCCTCTTACTGCAGCCTCCGCCAGAGGAGGAAGCAATGGCTCTGATTTTCTTGGAGATGAAGGTTTTAGGAATTACAGAGTCTCCTTCGACCCATGCTGGGAAAGGCAGTTTCCTCAAAGTGGTCTGATAGTTACCCACCCCCTTCCCAGAAGACCCCGACATTCAGCCTCAGCTGGCCAGGCTTTTGAGGGCATCCCCGAGGGCCAACTCCTTCACACTGTTAAGGCCAAGTCCCTAGCTGCCCGGTGTGTGTCTGCTCCAGACATCCACTCTTCATTCCCCTGATCAGAGAGACAGCAAGGGGACGTGAGCCTTCATGATCACTACGTGGGGGTTGCCTGATAAAATAAGAAGGCTCATAAAATGTGAATGCTAGGGTAGCCTTTTGGGGTTCAGGCCAGTCTCCCTGCAAAGTGCCAGAGGGAGGGAGGGAGGAAAGGATGGGGGCAGTGTCAAGGGACAAGCTTAATGTAGCAGGTGCTGCACACCACTCAGTGCTCCAGGCAGGCCTGGAGCCCAGAAGCGTCTACATCAGCCCATTCTG